TGTGAAAAGTCCTCCCTGTGAGAGCACACACACACACACACACACAGTCCCTTATGAATAAACACATGCAATATTTATTAAGAATAAACAAGCATGTACATGTACAGTATGTGTGTGCGTCATACCATCGTTGGTTCTCTATCCATTCAGATATGTAATGCCTGACTTCAATCGGGAAGGAGTTTGGTGGATAGAGGCTGCTGACTGTCTCATAAGGCAGATGCTGCAACATCTGGGTCATGTGCATCCACTGGGCCATGATCACGCAGGGCTAGGGAGTAAAAAGAAATGACATGTTTCTAAGCTTTCCCATGACCGTTTTTTTAAACACAGTGGAACTAAACAGCTCATCTTTCTGATTTAACAGCATATCAGCATTCAGGTGCTCCTTCATTCACCAGGTGACGCCACAGTCAGTAGTGTTTGATTTGATTTTTTACTCTAGATGTCCATCCTGACACAACCCCCAAGGGCGCTGTGCCTCCTCTGGGATCAGACTAGAGAGCTTTTCCTTGTTAGGCTAATGTGTTAACCACTACTTTATGGGTCCAGAGGGAGAAAGAATACAGATCAAAATTATCTGAATGTTTGTCAAAGAGACAAGAGCTGGATTGTTTAGGTCGGCGTCACTCTTTATGGAGAAAAGGTTAGGTTTTTTAATTTATCACCCAATAGGATTTTCATCTCTATGCAACGCTGTTCGTGTTTTTATAAACAAGCCAGCCATTGCTGTGATTCCCCTTTAGCCCTGCCAACCATGAGCACATTTAAACAATGAGAAATAAACTCCGAGCTGCTCTGTTGACACCATATTGTATTTCCTACCTAGTCGCCCTTTCCTGCATACCAGACAGCACATAAGCCAAACAACAGTAACTGTGAATCTCTGTGATAGGCCAGTATTGGTTGGTCATACTAAGGATCCACTGAATAGCATAACAAAGCAACAAATTGTTTATTTTTTATTAATTTGTAATATCTGCAACAGATATCAGAGCTCAACTGCGCCAGTAGCAAACATGCACATACGCTGTTCTTAAACAGTTTGCACAGCTGTGGAGATATAAATGTTTTTAAATGATCCTGCTGGGATCAACCAACTACAGTCTAACCGCACGCTTGTTTTTCTAAGGCTAACATGAAAGTCAGACAGTTGACCATAAGTTAAACTTTCCGACTGGCATGTTGATGAGCCGTTTGATTTTCACTGTAATACAAAGCCTTGCATATCTTTTGACAGTAATACTGTAATTATGTAAGTTGAAAAGGATTTCCTGATTGATTATTAATGTAAGTTGGTGGAAACATGAGGCACATGTTGTCGGACTTCTCCAACAGAAATGATATGCCTTTTAAGGCGGTTTGACACAAGCAAGAAAACTGCCATTCCTGAGTCATGATTTCTGTTTTGTAACATTGAGCAACTTTTTTAAAACTTTTGTATCTTAACTGACAAAACAAAGCATTGCGTAACAGCTTTTCCACCGAACAAGCCAGAATTCCTCAAATCCCGCAGCTATCACTCCACAGCTGCAGAGATTAGCAAGTCTGCACGTGTGTGTTGGATTGCGTTTGCAGTGTTACACATTCACATGTATGTTTTTGCATTTTGAATAGCAAACCTTTGACAAAGTACACTGCTTCAAGAGCCTCTTTAATATAAAAAAAAAACATCAATTTTTATTATGTCATAGTCTCACATTTATCTTTTACTGAAAATGTAAAAAATGCATCGTCTCAGTGTTGTGGCACTTTTCACCATGCTATCAAAAGCTTTGTCAAATATAAACAGCTTTTCAGATCTTTATCTTTAAAAAGCATGTTAAAAACAGTAACTGGCACAATCACAAAGGCAAATGCAGAAGTCTGTCTGTGTGTAGACATTTTGTAAACACAAAAACACAGTAATGTAGCAAAACACAGTAATAAAACCCAGTTTAAACACGGTTGTAATCTAAAAGCTTATCCGTAAAATTAACAGTAATTTACCCGTTACCTGTTCCAATAATTAAATTCTTCCAAGTCCCGGCATTCTTGTGGACGTCACATTAATATGCAACACCCACGTAAACATTGCCGTAGATCTGACAAACCCCATAAAACCCACTCCTTCCCTATAAGGACGACACACACCACTAAGGATGAGTCATAAACAGCCACAGGAGATTCAAAGCTGTTAATCTGATACAGATTAAATAAAATCCAGCAGTAAAAGTCTATTCCACAAAAGTGCCACCCCTCAGGTCACAGAATCCCAACATACTTAGGTGCCGTGCATCATTACACAACAATGCAGCCAGTTTTAATGTTTAGAAGAAACTTATCATGTTAAGAGTTTTAGTAGAGAGCAGCTGACTCTAACCCGACATGATCATTTAGTGACCAGTCTTTACATGCTTATGAATACTACAACTACAGATATGATGTTTGATTTCCCCACTTCACTCACAGTCGGAAAATGTATGGTAAATGTTAATGTTAATGTTAATGCTGACACCAAGAAACCATCTAAGAAGAGACGTTTATAACAGTAAAGGACTTTATAACTTTGACATAGTCCTACATGAATATGATTGAACATTACTAGTCAGATGGTAGCAAATCGGTCGATGAATAAATGCACAAAGAAGCCGACACAATGTACATGTTTAATTTGACTTTTTACTATAAAATAGAAACAGCATAACATAAATAACTTCACTGTACATGTGATTTTGTGTTCCTAGTCCCTCTGGTTGTGCTGTAACATTAGATTTGGGCAACACGGGACCCAAAACAGCTCAGAGGGAAATGTGTGGAAAAACCCTACATGCTGGAATACAGGTCTTTCTGATGACTGAACTGGTTCTAGAGCTATAATTATGCAGGTGTGTCCAGGAGAATGAAAAAGACAATGGAATTATTTGAGTCTTTTCCTCTTGCGTTGGCCCTGTGTTTATATACTGGGTTAGGGCTTTTTCAACGTGGCTCTTTGTTGTAGCCAAAACGCTGGTTTGTTCGACAGTTTGTTTGTATGTTTACACTTTATAAAAGTATGTTTACACTGTCAAGCAGCAGTTAATAACAAAGTTCTTATTCTCTCAGTTATCTAGAACCTCGCCGTGCTATACTTGCTATGCTGGTTGGGTTAAAGATTAGACCCTAATAATGACTTTGTTTGAGTTTAAGTGTATAATCCATCACTATCTTAGCTATTTCCTCTTTAAGCTGCTTAACAAACATAACTGAATTACTGCCAAGTCAGAGGGTTGCAAGTTTCTGCCCCTTATGTCACTAGTTTGTAGATAGACGTGGAAACTCGTGCCTGCCTGCCAATTCCTTGCTTTCTGTGCCTACGTTTTCTGTCATTTGTTTAACATTTTTCCATTGAAGAACACTAATCGGTTTATTTTTTTCAAGACTTTGCATGTTTGTATTGTGTGATTATACGATATGATTATACTAGCGTTATCTCAACATCAGGAGCCTGCTGCACGTACATCCCTCTGGTGTGCAGAACAGCTTTCCAGCATTTATCCCCTGAGAGTAACTCAGGATGA